GGTATGGTATGGTATGGTATGTGATCTCTGGTATAGCCTCATACCATATCTTTGGTACCAAACCCCATTCCAATCTGTATACCAAATAACAGTAATACCATCAGTATGGTACATCTTAAATTTTTCCAAGTCCAAGCAGCATAGCACAAGTATTCCAATGGCACATTGATAATTCAACCAAGTCTGCACAGCATACCAAAGTTGAGACGCCTTTGATCCACAACAGTGAAACCACAAGGTCTACATGATCCTAACTACCAATATATCCGGTGACCAGCACTGAAGAGTACTAAGTACCACAAAACCCTATGTACTAGATAATGTAGTAATCCTAAGTCCCCCAAATGAACCTGCATGACAGAACTCCCGATGTCCGCCTGACCATCAATTCTCCTCCTCCATTGAAGACGTTTCAGAAACCCCGGCCCTCACTAGGAAGTCGTCGACGTAGCACCCCACCCTCTGCGAGTCGCTCTCCATCGCCAGCCTCTGAATGCCCCCGTCCAACCCCGCGAGTGCCAAACCCAGTGAATCCTTTGTTTCCTCGGCCATAGTAGCCATGAGAGTCATACGGACGACCATGTCCTCGATATTGGGGGCGGACACCACAGCCTCTTCCACCAAAGTCAGATGGTGCATACTGTCGTGGATGGTGGCCATAATATTGGAAATTCGAGAACTGGGGTGGAGGTCGGTGATGGTTAGTGTTTGAAAGTCCGGTCCGGTCCGGTCTTTTGGTGCCCAGTGCCTTAGACCGTAACCGTAACCGGTCCTCCCAATTGGAGAAACTTCAAAAAACCAGACCGAACCACAACAGACCGGTCTTTTGCGGTCTTTTGCGGTTACAAGACCGGTTTTAACCAGTTCTGGTCTTAACCGGTTTGGGACTGGTCTAAACCGGTCTTTGTAGGGCCATGTAACAACAATATTATGTATTTTAGTGTACAAATCGGTCAGCGTATGCGACTTCGTAGCAATGTGCATGGGTAACAGTAACCACAGGTGTCTTCACATCCACCTTTACCATTCGTTGATGCACCAGGTCATCATCTACATACGCCATACATTGTCATTCATCCGTGTATTGTCTGTCGTCGTTGTTTGTCTGAGTGTAAACGTCACCGTTCGTCGGTTATTGGTTGCCATGTCACTGACACGTCGCCGTCAGTGACATGGCCCCTGCTTCTCATGTCAAAGAAGGAGAGGGGGAAGGGAGTCACATCGCTCACCTGGATCGACGTCAACGAACGTGCCATGTTGTAGGCGCTGACGGCGACGTCACCCTTTTTCTTGTTTGACACAAGGAGCGGGGGATGGGTTTATTAGCTCACTTGAACGTTGACAGTCTTTTGTCATCATTGAGTGTCGTCGTTTGTGCATCCGTTGCCACGTCGCCCCTGTTTCTCGTGAACAAAGGAGAGAGAAAGGAGTCATGAGGCTCACCTGATTTGAAACAGTGACAATGACGCCGTCTGGACGACGTGGCACGTCAACGGTTGACATGCCAAATCGTCTTCATATGATCAACACGACGGGTGCTCACTGCATCTATTCAGCTGATGACGTGGTGTGGCCATGTCGTCATTGCCGTTAGCGAGTGCAGAGGACTAGGGGTGGTCGAACAGGGAGCTGGTGGTTGTTGGCTTGCAGCCACATCGCCGTAACGACATGCCTTGGACATGCCCTTGCCGCTGCGCTTTGTGTGAAAAAAGGTGAGGGGAAGAGCGTCACATTGCTCACCTCTAGTAATGTAGATGACAACGGAAGTCGTCATTGTCTGGACAATGTGGCGCATCCGTTGATGTGCCACGTCGTCATCCATCCATGTGTCATCGTTGTTCGCCCGTGTACCACCAATGTTCATCCATGTCTCATCGTCGTTTGTCAGTTGTTGGTTGGTAAGTGACCCCTGCTTCTCGTGTGAGAAAAGAAGAGGGAGGGGGATACGCTACTCACCTAGAATGTCCGTTGGCGTGCAAGTCCGTCGTCGTTCGCTCGTTAGGCTGATGACGTGGCGTTGCCGAGTTGTCGTTATGGTGGTTGGCGACAGTTGAACGTTGAACGTTGAACGTTTGAATGATGATTGCGGGAGGTGGTGGTTGGTGGTGGTTGGTGGTGGCAATGGTGACGAAGTGGAGGCGGTCACTGTGATGATGAACACACTTTAATGTTATTATTTGGTTCTCATCAAAGACATAAATAAATATACAATTAGTTCAAATGTTCAGCCCTCAGTTGGCCCTCAGAAAGACCGGTCTTAGACCGGTTAATCCGGTTTTTGCTCGGTCTTGAAAATTTGGAATCCGTGGAGGACTGTAGACCGAACCGCGGTTACGGTCTTTGTCGGTCCTGATAATTTGCGGTCTTGTTCGGTCACAGTCCGGTCTGGTCACGGTCTTTTTCCAGTCCTGTGACCGGACTTCCAAACACTAGTGATGGTGATCCTGCATGGAAAAAGAGGGTTCGAACCTAGTCGCCTGATACTCATCCATGAAAGCATCGTGCCCATCTTTGTCATACATGTTGACATCCACGTTGTAGTCATTGTGATTGCGAACGTCGGCGTCATTCCATGGAATGACACCTCTCAGGCGAGAGCCACTTGGACGTTTTGACCCAGCATTGTCATGAATATGCCGCTGCTGGGACATCCCACGGGAATTGAGTCCTTCGTCCAACCCGCACTCATTTCCTGAGCCCTGGGTCGTGCTACGGGGATGCTGCCCTTCTTGACTCTCCCAACCGCCGTCTCTGGGTCCACCTTGGTTATTGCGCACTGGCTGTGAACCCAAATCAGCCTCTTGGTCTGGCATCTCCTGGCGACAGACATGTTTGGCAGGAGGAGAGTGAATGGGGGAGATAACGGGAGCGTGAGAGTTGCTGGCCTGAGTATCCTCATCAGATGACCGTGGTTTTTTGACCTGGACACCAGCTCCTGAAGGCTTGGCGTCCTCACGTAACTTGCGCTTCTGCCTGCCAACTTGTGTGGAGGTTGTCGCTGTCTTCTTCTTTTTAACTACCTTCAAGGTGTTGACCTCGATCATCTGGCTACGAGCTCTGGCACGGAGTAGTGGAGGGCAGTCAGCACCTCCATCGTTTTGTCGAGCCGCATTCTCAACCTCCGGCAAGCAGTTTCTGACACGGGCGAGGACAACGAGCGCCCCTGATTCGGATTTGCCAGTAACGATGGGTATGTCCAGCCAATCCTCACTCCCCTCTGCCAAGTCCATGTAATCTAAAGCCCAGTCAATTAGAACATGCATCGTGAACCTCACCAGTCAAACTTACCATCAGACCAGGAGACAATCTGAGGAGCAAGCTCCTTCGTCTCGTCCTTGCTAATCATGTACGTGAATATCATATTAATCCCATTTGAACTGATGTCGGTTATTGACCATCCCTTTGCTCCGGGGATGGGTTCATTGCAAGGCCAACGTTCGAGAATCATTTGAGCGTCACGGCAGTGGGTGAAGAAGTTGGCCCACAAAGCCGACGCCGAAGCTATTGCAGGACCTGCACAATCCGCTGCAAACCGATCAGCAGGTAGCTCACCCCAACAAGACAAATGGAACGTACCAATCTGAAATTTCATTAGGTAAGGTACACATCTCCGTGAACGATCTCAAGAAGATTCCATGGGTCGAGACCCTTCCGCGGTTCGGCAATTCCAATAAGACGCAGGAACAGCACTCATTGGCTGAGTTAAATCAGGGTCGGAAGAGCTTGCCACACCTTTCGAAGACTTGGATTTTTTGGCCAGACTTTTTGAAGCCTTCGTGTGCTCCCTGGGTTCCATGGGGGGCGGCTGCGGCACTGCACTTGAGCCTTCTACGTTTGCGTCCAAGTTCGCCACATCAACACCAAGCAATTGCGAGATGTCCACGGTTTCCGGTACAATAAAATTAGAGGCCATCCCCCTACATAGTTGAAGGTTAATATACCTTCTGAATTGATAATACTTATATCACTAACCGAAGGAGCGTTGTCAAATGATGAAGTAACTTCTTGATGTCCGCTTGACTGTGCTCGATGACGCGTTGCAGCAAAGGATTGCCTGTGACGACGGTAGCAGCCTGGTTGGCCACAGGATCACGAGGAATGATTACCCCGATCATGTCCAAGTCCGCCCTTCCCAACGCCGTTGCCTATGAAATCAGAATATCAGACAAAGTCGCCACAGATAAACTGTCCAAACCCACCAAGTCTTGAACTTGCTTCAGAGCCGACTTCGTCATCTTGAACTCCTGCTGCTCAACCTCCGCCTTGGACTCTGCCAACTCTACGAGCATATTCTGCCGATAGTCCTCCAGCTCGTCCTCTGAAAGGTTCTCCGTAAGGATCTTGTACATCTCCGAGGCCTGGGTAGGCCACGGATGACCGGCAGCTGAGACTAATCAATGAAGCCTGATAACTGGGACAAAAGAAAAAAGACGTACTTTGTTCGGGATTGTAACTCTGGTGACGCAAGTACATTTGCCATACGTCCCACCAGGACGGCTCATGAGAAAGGGAGATATTGAAGCCCCCTTTGCGTAGGACAGACTCGGGTGTACGGCCCATGTTCTTGCAGTATTCCACGATGGTGTCTGCAAGCTCCTTGACTTGATCCATTTCACGAACTGAGAAAGGGCCACGCTTAGCCTTTGGCGCAGGATTTGAACGTTTCTTTCCCAGTGCCTTTGCGCTAGCGACAGGGCGTGCATGAGGACTTTGGCTTGCACCCTCCACACCTGATCCCTCATCGTCTCCTGAAGGCATCCATGGAGGTGGCTTACTCTTCACCAGACGACGTAAAGTCTGCGTGAACTCCTCTCCTTCGTCGCGTGTCTCGTTATTGTCTCCTGAAGGTCTTGATGCAGGTCGTTTGCCCTTCACCAAACGACGCCGAATGTGACTGTTTGTCTCTGGCGAAAGCTTCTTCAATGGGTTTTTCCCCTTGCTTCGACGACGCCGATCCTGCTCATCTACTTCCTCCATTATCATCTCGTCGTCGGCCTCCTCCTCCTCAGTATCCATTACGTCGTAGTCAAGTCCCCGATTCTTTCGAGCATGGTCAAGCTGAAGCTTTTCAGCCTTCCTGGACTGGCTGTAGTCACTTGGTGTCAACGAAGACTCTATATAACCGTGACCTCCATCCTCCAGCTGCGAGTTGCCCTCCGCATCAGGTTCGTCGTCCGGTATGCACTGCACCTGAGGGTGTTGTTTGGCATGGATGATGTGGGCAGGCTGGCCTCTGTGTCGGGTTGACTCTGCCTCCTGGCGGCGTTCTGCTTCGTGACCTGCCTCAGCTTCGTGCTCTGGCTTAGTTTCGTTCCCTGACTCTGCTTCCTCTCCGTCGCCTGGCTCTGCTCCGACGCCTGACTCTGGTCCGTCGCCTGAATCTGCACTCTCGCCGGACTCTGCTTCGTCGTCTTCGCTACACCCTACACTCCCTTCCGCTAAGCGTTTGGCCCGACGCCTGGCAACTCTCGTTGCTTCCTCCCACCATTCCTCCACCTCCCCAAGACGGTTCGACGCAGGAGGGGGATCTGTGGTGTAGCCTTTGGGGAGAGACTCCCATCGTTGAGTCACCCGATTGAACCAGGAAGTGAACCGGGTATACTGATGGGCAGGGTGAGCATCAGTGGCCTTCCAAATTCTCGAACGATGTCCAATGTAACCCCTTCCCCCCATGACTCTGCCAATACGGCAGAAGTATACGGTTACTGGATGCGGAAGGGAAGACGCCAGAGGGAGGGGGAGCCTATCATCCTCCGGCATCGTGGAATCGAAATCTTCATCGCTGGAAGCAGGATCAGGAGTCTTGGGTTCGTGATAGCGCAGTGTAGGATTAATGAGAGTAAGTGAAGGTACGTCTGGCCTGTGGCGTAACGTGTAGAGACCATGCGAACGAGACACAGCCTGAGTGGGGCCAGAGATGGGTGAAGAGGGAAGAACCCCAGACGAATCATTTCTGAAACATTGTCAAGAACCACCCTTACTTAGATCAATTTAAGTTACCTACGTTGGAATGAGAGTTGATTTGATTGAAAACGAGCCCTCTGCTGGTGGGGAAACTCTGGCAGATGCAGCACTGCGAGTTATATTGAATAAGATGGGGAAATTCGATGGAAACACACACTCACATCAACGTGGCCTGGACAGACAATGGCAGGCCAAAGCCAATTGACCCAGACAATCCCCTGTGCCAGAATATCAATGTCTTGTTCATCTGAACACCTGACCAGCACTCACCTGCCCCCCGCACTGTCTGCATGATGTGCAGGTGGGGAGTTCTCGAAGTCTGAAAGCCGTTTTTTTGGGTCTCTGTTATAAAACAAGTCTTCCGCCGCGACGGCCAAATTATCAATGACTCTGTTGGCATTATGGTCAGTTGTACACCTGTGTAGTCTCAATGGCGGAGCAACCAACCGATTGCCACGCGATATAAGGTCCTGAGTGGGCGTGGCGTCCGGATCAGCCACATTAAGGACCCTGTATGTATAGACGTTAGAGAGAACTATTGAAGAAGATAAATATTACAGATGCGGAAGCAGCGAACAAGGAGTTAACGCTGTACCCGAGTGAAACGACAAGGAGTCAAATTTCACTTGGGAGGACTCTCCGCGACAAGGAGTCAAACAGAGAGCCCTGACAAAGGGAAAGGAACGCACATTTGCTTGAGGCCGTACGTGTGGTATGACTTCGTCTGGGTGAGCTTGACCATAGCCGAGTTGGCCTCTGTCTCAGATGCCACAACCTTCTCACCCACGCCAAGGTTGGAGTTACTGGCCTCCAAGTCCATCATTCTAGGATACGATTTGAGTCAAAAAGATCAGGTGAGAACTAGGAAAGCCATACTGGTTAATGTTGGCCTTTGGCGCCGCCGTTTGTCTGGGGTAATTGTGCTGAGTAGGTCCTAGCGCCGCATCCCTGGAACGTCCCAGAGACTGACTGGGTTCAGCGTTGACAAGGGGCTCGTTGCCATCCTCCAAGACAATGATCCTAGAGTTCAGGATGAGACTCACCCCCGTCAATCACTATCAATTCCTCACCTGTTGATGTCCACCATTGGCGCGGACAAATTGGGGTTAGATTCACTAGGCGGAATTTTCTTAACGGCCTTGGAATTGTTTCTACATGCAAGCATTAGTATTTTTTTTCCCCTTTAGCAGCAAACGTACTTTTTGGCCTGACTGGGGCGGGAAGGAGCTGGAGTAGGTGGGTCGTTGATGGTGGTGTTGACTACAGGAACAGCGATGTTGATGTCCACCATTGGCACGGACAAATTGGGGTCAGATTCACTAGGCGGAATTTTCTTAACGGCCTTGGAATTGTTTCTACATGCAAGTATTAGTTTTTTTTCCCCTTTAGCGGCAAACGTACTTTTTGGCCCAACTGGGGCGGGAAGGTGCCGGGGTAGGTGGGTCGTTGATGGTGGTGTTGACTACAGGAACAGCGATCTTCCTGGCCCGGCTACGGGTAGGAGTACCTGTCGCCTGAGTGGGTGCGGACTTGCCAATGACGTTACCGCCGGTATCAGCATCTGTCGCGCTAAATATACTTTGAGGTGAAAGGCCTCAACAGAAAGGGTGAGGAATCACCTCTCGTTGTCTGTACTCTGGGCTGCCTTCCCCACTCCCTTCTGCAATTTTTTTCAACGTTGTGGCTAACGGTGACAGAGGAGTCTCTCACCTTGGTGGAAGCATTACCTCTGCCCACTGGGGGTAGAAGAACGACAGGCTGCAACTTACGAGGGCGAAGTTGTCGAGGTTCAGACATTTTGGTTGGGAACTTTAGTATTTGGTTTTGTTCCAAAAATTTTGAAGGCTTTTTGAGTGGGTTGGGGCAGAAAGGCGTCCCGTCCCACTGTGTATATATACTCTTACTTACACACGAGCCCAGGGACACTGACACGCTAACCCAAAGGGATTTTCCATTGCGTTGTGGCATGTTTGGGCGTCAGGGTAAGGGCAATGTAATATAGCGAGATGAGGTCATTGTCAAGGGCAGCCAGAAACTCCAACCGCTTGGTGCGAGGTCTGCAATCGCATAGTGCGAAAAGTCACCAACCTGGAGGACTGTCGACATTACTGCGTGGCCCGGCCAGGAGGTGGGTTGAGATCTTCCGAATGGACGTGATTATCTGTGGGCTTGAGATCTTCCGAATGGATGCATTTTTCTGTCTGCATAGTGTGAAATCTGGTGAGTTAGCTGCCACTTAGGAAGACGAACAAAGGTTACAGACGAGTTGAATACTGGGTTCAGGGGAGTATAGTGGAAAGCGATCTTCGCGCTAGCATCCGAGAAAGGATTTTCCCACTGTATATGCACTATCGTTCCCAGCCCGTGGCGTTATGCAGTCACCATGTTCGTTGGCAATCATTTCAACATTGTACACTGATAGAGGCAATTAGCACCAAATATGAAGTTTCATAGGAAGGACCTACCCTGCCCATATTACTGATTTCCAGTGCATGAAGCGCATACAACTCAAGGTCCAACTGTCTTAAATGTAAGGCACATCGAAGTCCATCGACGTTGAAACTTACCATGAAATTTTCGGGCCAAAATGTGACTCGGACTCTATGCAAGCAAAAGAGGGGCCGGAGTAACCAGGACTAACAAAGGGCCGCGTTGGTCTGACGAGAGTGAAGGAGACGGCACTAGCTCAGACTCTACGCAAGCAAAAGAGGCGCCGGAGTAACCAGAACTAACGAAGGGCCGCATTGATCTGACGAGAGTGAAGGAGACGGCACTAGAAACAATGAGCATTGTGTTCAACGGCCCTGTGAGTGAATAGCAGCGACAAAGAGTCAAACCGCCAGAACGAAAGGCTGACAGGGAGTCGAAGCCTTCGCAACGAGGACGACAAGGAGTCGAGTCCAGGTGCGCCAGAAGGGAGATAAGGAGAAAGAGTAAGGTAACTCACATTTCAGAGGACCATCTGTCCACGGAAACAAGACGGCTCTTCTAAATTCTTGCGCTTCAGAGTTGAGTGAGGATTATGAGAAGCATTCCTCCCGATGTGATACCGGCGAGTCTTGGGAATATTCTGTATTGATGTTAGATGCGCGATGTCTCAACGTAGGACCAGCGGGAGGCTGAATGGGACGGTGAAAGATTGTCCTAGCACGAGAGAAGGTGGGTGATTGAGGAGTGGGTGCCAAAGAACGAGAAGAACGAGTGGTGAGCGTGCTGACACACGTGCTGCTTCTGTCTATGATTTTTGTCGAGTACAACACCTGCCAGGTGGAGCTGTGGCTGGCTTCAATCTGTTGGAAACAATGAGCAATCTGTTCAACACAGACCCATGAGAGAATAGCAGCGACAATGAGTCAAACCGCCAGATTGTACAAAGGCCGACATCGAGTCAAAGCCATCGCAACAAGGACGACAAGGAGTCGAATCCAAGTGCGGCAGAAGGTAGACAAGGGGAGAAAAACGTATTACTCACGTTTGAGAGGATATCCCGCGACGGTGAAGAAAGGTCGAGAGGGAATGTGAAGAAGCGTCGGGACGAAAGGGAACGTGAAGAAGCGTCAGGACGAAAGGGAACGTGGAGAAGTGTTGGAAGGGCGAGACGGAACGGGAGAAGTGTTGGAGAAAGAGGGGAGTTAAAGTGGTGATGATCAACGATCTAGATCATAGTTTGATAAGATGACATGACATGTGTGATAGGTAAACCTTCTTACCTGTGCTCCTCGTCCACTCACGATTGAACATCGAAGGATAGGTGAGTTATGCCCCATACTTGTGACGATGTCTTCCGGGATTAGACTCTGTGTCGTCCCGTTGAAGAATTCCAGCAGACCTTGACTCCATGTCGGTCCGCACTCACATCGAGTTTGACTCTTTGTCGCTCGCATCTCATTCACATAGGGTACTGCCGCTGACGTGTTGTCCTCATAGGTTCGTCCGCTCCTTGCTGTGAGGTTACCTCACAACTGATATACACCAAGATTTTATTCCCTTTAACTCTCGCTCCTGGCGGCAGGTGTATTGGCACATGTTCCGCCCCACTTAGAGGGATGTTCGGTGGCTCCTCCGGTTCTAACTTGTTCCAAACGTCGTCCACACTCGTGTCACCATATATAGGTTTAGCGATCATCTCCGCAATCTCGTTGGCTATCCTGACTTCTTGTTGTTCATTCACAGCAACCTTCATAGCAACCACCTTGTCCGTCGTCCTAAACGGCAGTTGGGATTCAGTAACACATGACGGATCCATAAGCAAGGATGTACAAGTTTCCATGGGTCGTTTTGAGCACGTCCCCAGCTTTCTTCTTCGCAGGTATTGTCTCCCTGTTTAAATAGGTCGATTCTAGGCTATTGACTTGCTTTTCCAGTCATAACTGTGTTCCTGCTAGACACTCCAGTTCCGTCTCGTTCAGTTTCTTTCATTTCAGTGCACCGGTGATTGGAGTGCATGTCACCTCCCCTCAGGCCCTTACTCTCCAATTGGTGAGTGGCAATAATCTCCGTCCAGCAATCGACTCCGCCTTCAAATTGGCCGATTCTAGGGTTTTGACTTGCATCTCTGCTTGGATTCATGTTTTTGCTAGTCGATCCAGTTCCATCTCTTTCTGTTTCTTTCATTTCAGCGCAGCGGTGGCCGCTGTGGATGTCAATGCACACAACCTCTCGTCAGGTCATCACTCTCAAATTGGTGAGTGGCAAAATTCTGCATTGCTCCTTATTTCTACAATTTTAATGAAGTGGCGTTCGTAGATAAGGGCTGTTTGTGGGAAGGAAGGGGGAGGTGTATCATGTTCAGTGGAGGGACGAGCCGAATTGGGTGATTTGCTATGGAATACGGCTAGTACGAGGTCTGCGGCATTCGCTTTTCCAGTCTACTACATATGTGTTACGTAGGTACAACGTAAGTGGTAGTACTAGCATTTGACGCATCTGGTTTTGACGTGTTTGATGTGCACGTGATGCCATTAACAACGTGATTGGTGTTTGGGATCAATCACCGTTTTTCCATTCCGTTACTTTTCAACTCCTCCATCTTCTTCATCCACAATAGAGTGCACCAACGAAGAAGTTCTTCAAAACAGTGAGTCTTCCTTTTTGTGTTTTTCGATTCTGGAACTCGACTCCTTGTCGTTCCATGGGATTGGGTGGATTTTGACTCCTTGTTGATCCACCTTCCCACCTTCCTGAGTTCGACTCCTTGTCACTCACTCTTGGTTCACTTTGCTGCCGAATACACGTTAATCTGATCTTTCTTAGGCGTTGGCGTCCATCTGGTTTTATATTCCGTTTCCGTGCCATTCATCCGTAACCGGTGAGTAATGTATGTTCGCGTATACTTATACTCATACTGAACATGGTCCTCAGCTTTGTTACTTGGGTCTTCCCAACCATGTCAGCCTCTGGCTTAAACAGCCTCTCTCTCGCATCCCGACACCCACCCATGTACTATCAATTGGACTCTGATCGGTATGTAGTCTTCTCCTGGATCTCGTATGCTTCAGCGCGGAATTTGACTCCTTGTCGTTCCGTTGGAGGATGTACATCTTGACTCCCTGTCGACGGACATCCTCCAATCGTGTTTGACTCTCTGTCGCACGACATTTCTTCAACTATCTATTCTAGAAATGCATTTCTAACAGGATTACTAGCTATGGCGTCTACTTCTCCAACTTCGAAACCGTACTATAAGGAATACACGCGTGAAGGAGATCGCAAATTCTGCGCGACGGACGCTTATTGCTGGAATGTATTGGATCATCAGGTTCGGACGAGGGAGGTTGTGAGTGAGGCCGGGATCAACACATTCATCGAACATCCCGACAAGGGTGACCCCCCATCCTGGTGGGTCATTACTACTCCGAACGTGGGCTACATCCCGACCGCTCCCATCGGCATTCATCATATTCAAGCGAAGGCGGATGGCCGCTTTGGACTGGACGACCGCACCCTCCACCCCCAGATGTACATCAAAGGTTTTGAGTATATCTGCTGCATCCCCATACGCGATCAGTCTCGCCACATGTTGTGGTGGACACCCTCTCCCGAAGATTGCCCTATCATTCCCAATTCGCCTTTCTCAGTCACTATTCGTGTACTCAAGCCGGATTTGTTGAACGGGTACAAGGATCTTCGCGACAAATATGTTGGTCTGATCGGTAAACATGAGGGATGCGACCGCTCCCCTCTTGCGGGTCTTTTGGTCACTGCGATGTGTCAAGCTCTCAATAGGCTTCGTTCGTTTGGGATGACCTACAAGGAGATACTACTGGCCGTCGCAGAGTTCCAAAGAGCGGTCTTGGACATACACGCGTGGATCGATTTCGTTGACGTTTATCAACCACTTCTTTTTCCTGGTCCCAATGGTGTGGTCAAGTACGACGCCAATCAGAAGTTGATGGGAGCATTTACAGAAAAGGTCCAGGTCGCTCAACAACTCCAGGTGATGGGAATCCCCGTGTGGTTAATCCGCCCATCATTCTGTATCCTCCCAACCATGAATGTCAACTTCTCAACCCCCTAGCTACATTGCTATAAGATTGTTCTGCACCATTTCAAGGATGGGCATGGCAATTTAGATCCATACCCTGTTCTCGCGACTGGTCCGCCATCGACCGAACTTTACAGGTGGACCCAACGTATAGGCTGCGCGATCATGGATCTTCAAGACGTCACTGCAATTGGTCGACAGGATTTTATCGAAGGAAAAGCCAGTATTGGAGGAGTTCGTGATGCATGTATGTTTCCAGCTTGTAATGATACAACCTACTGACCAAGCCTCATCGAAGATTCTATTCCTGTGCCGTCTGCTTCAGTGTTGTCGTCTGTGGGGAAAGTTGGCCCATCTGGTTCGTTCTTTCCTAATTCTTTCTATGTTACTTTGGAGTCTAATAACCACCTGTCTTTCAGCTTATCTGTTACCATCCAGTGGCGGCCAACAACCCTCATCATCCTCGAAAGGTGGGGCTCGCTATTCTAACCTTAGCATGGGACAACAACCCTCATCATCCTCGAAAGGTGTGTCTCGTTATTCTAAGCTTAGCATGTGTACTAATTGTGAATTCTCGCAGTTCTGCTCTTGGTCGCCTCTCAGCAGCTGTCCCAACGCTCCTCGGTACCTTCCATCCAACCGGTCATGCCCAACCCAACACGTCAAGGTGGTCCTGGACCTTCGAAGCGTCCTCGCATAGCTGAGGCAAATGTTGCTGGTGTCGACTCTCCCTTCATGCCTGTCCCCATTCCCACGTGGGCCAACGCTTTGTGCAACTTGGATACCGATCGTGGTCGTTTGAGACGCCAGCCGGGAGATGTGGGCATCGGATACAAATACCCCAAACCCGATATCTTCTTGAACTCCAAGAATCGCGCTTTGTACACTGCTACTTGGCTGGCTGTCCGGGCTCATCATGCATACACGCTGGCAACGGGAACAGAGTTACCGCCACCTATCACTGCCCAGCAATGGCGGAATTTCCTCATGAGAATCATTCCCTTCCTGGATGCCGATGACATCGATTATGCGGCGGATCTTGATGATAGGACATCCGTACCGTTGCCTCCCCAGCCTGTCACGAAAGGGAAACAGAGAAAGGTTGGTGGCTCATCCCGAAAGAAGCATGTCAAGAAATCAAATTCGTACCTGGACGAAATCCCTTTGCGAAACAGCCTGATCGATCGGGTGATTTTTTATGACACAACCATACAGCTGGGCACAACACAGGAGCTTGAGCAGGCGTTAACCCCAGAGGTTACGCAGGAGATTCTCTGGGAACTCTGCCACATGAGTTTCCGGTTTGAACTCCTGAGCCTGGATGCTCTCCTGGCAGACACATTGTACCATGGCCGGGAGGGTGTTACAGATGCAGCAGCGGCGAGGTCTCGTGCGGAGCAACTTCTCACCATATTCCCCATGTCGGGTGATGTGCTCGGTTCTTTTATGATCAACGAAATCCCCAATCGCGACTTGGGTTTGACTTCTTTTGATCTGGAAGAACAGAACCGACATCTGGTGGCACTCTCGAAGTTGATGTGTCCATGGAAGGGCTGCCCGGATTCAATTAGAGATGCTAGCCGGCTTCCGATAGAGGCACATGTTCAGGCACTGGAAGAGGCATGTACGAGCTTTTACTGCCAGTCATTCTTCGACAACTTCGGTCGCGCACCCATCATCCCTTGTCGCCTTCCTCCTCGTTCTCTTGCACGCCCGGCGCCGGTGACCTTTGCAGATTCTGTCATGTCTGCCCAGCCCTCTTCATAGTTATTCGTATATTCATCACATATTTCTTGGACCTTGTTGTCATGTCGGCCTCGTTGTTTTTCTTGTTATCGCCGCATGACATGTAATATGATCTTGTGTTCGCTTTTGCACCCGGTTCTTTGGGGGGTTAGTGGTGTACGTGGGTAAGCCTCTCTTTCCTTTCCCCTCACATCCTTGCGTCAAATTCTATGGCTTTCAACAAGAGCCGTTACTTGGGCAAGGCTGGGATTGCTATTGGGTCTCCATCGTTGAAGAAGAAAAAGTCCTCGGCTCATACTTGGGCTTCTACAAGTGATTCTAATGCATCATGTCATCCTTATGGGTTGCCAGGCATTCATATCTTACCTAGGCTAGACTTGACCACTCCTCTTGGGTCATTTGTACAGATTCCAGTGCCCACTGGGGCTGATTTGCATGATGCTGCTGCTGCTGCTGCTGAGGATAGTTTATCTGAGTCCTCTGGTGGTGACTCTGAGGATTCTGGTGATGTTTCTGCCAGTGATGTCCTTCAGCCTTTGGTATTTCCTGCAGAGCAAGCTTCCCCAAAGAAGAAGTTAGACAAAAAGTTGGCCTTGTGGAGGAACTGGGCTCTGAAACTGATCCCAGAACTATTGTATCCTTATCTAGGCTTGTTAAGGGAGTCTGAGAATTTGAAAAACATAGATAGAAGGTTACCTCAGTGTTCTTGTGATGGAACTGGGCATAATGAGTGTTATTGCTGTGTTTTTTGAAAGGGAGTGGCTTTTTGGTTAAGATATCTACTTGTAATAACTGAACCCTTCATCCATCTTAGAACTTGTTTCTGTGGAAGTTTGTTCTTGCTCTGCTGTTTTTCAGCTCTTGGCAATGGGTTTGTTTCCTGCCTCACCCCTTCGACCAACATTAGCTGTGGATTTGAATATGCTCGACTTTGTTAATGAGCTTTTTGTTCGTTCACCTCCAAACACTACTGCATGGTGTGACTCACTTGAGGCATTTCTGGGTTCTCGTACATATAAGCTTGAGAGTAGAGATGCCAT